AATACCCAACTACATAATATATTCTCCTGTGCACGTCAAAAACATTACCTTACTACTGTAATTTCATGAATGTACTGTGTGTGACATTGTGATTCGTGTTCCGAACCAAAGTGTAAACACCATATGGGATTTGAAAAAGCGAAGTCTTTGTAAGTTATATCCCATAATAAAAATTTGAATTTGAATTTGGATAACGTTCATTGGACTGGAAAGCGAATCAGAAACAAGAACCGATACGGTCCGATGTCGGAGAAATCCTTGGATCCAGTCAAGAATGAGACTCGGAATACCGTAGTTATAAATACATAATCATATAATTACACAGATATATACAAATATATGTAAATATGCATATACATACAAATGTGTGTATGTATGGGGATTTCCTTTATTCTGTTTTCCTTTCAACTATGCTTCTCTACAAAGCTGGTATATTTCACAGAATTCTGACATTTTCATTATTCATCTAACCAGTTGTGAAAACTGGTCGTCTGCTCAACAGGGAAATCTCTCAAAACCGATGTTGAAAGACACTCGTTTGAATATCAGCAAACGCGTTCTCCGGTTTGGTTCTCATGTATTTCATTGATTAGAACTGACCATCCTTCAAACTTCACCTTCACGCACAATCGTCAGTTCTTCCAGTCAACCAGATACTCGGTAACACTGGACCTGAGCTTCGCACCTATTAGAGCCCATCAGATATGCATATCTACCGTCCTATCCGGGAGTTAAACACCGGACCCATCGCATGGAAGGCGAGGGTGTGTTACACCACTGTGCCAACTAGCTCATGCTGGAGTTGAATTAAATTGCCAACTCATGTTTGTTCTGAGTGTCGTCTTCAGAGATAGTCATTTAGTTCAAGTTGGCCCGGCTGCAACGAAGGGAGATAAAGTTGACTATCCGTTAACTGCAATGGAAAGCCTCCCACCAAGCCAGGTCTTCCGTGCAGGTTACAGACTAATTGGCTACAAACTTACTAGACCGGGTTAATAATTCACATTTAACTCACAGTCAACTTATGTGTAGTGTTGTCGGATGATTTTTATTAATTGATTGAAACTGTCCATCCTTCAGACTTCACCTTCATGCCTAGTCCTCAGTTCCTCTAATCAACCATGCACACTGGAAAACACCATAGACTCGATTTTCACTCGTATTAGACAGCTCATCAGTAGTGCATATCCATCGTCACACCGTCCGGGCTTTGGAACTCCAGACTCATCGGGTATGGAAGACCGGAGTGTGTTACACCTCTATGCCAACGAGCTCATGTATTTGTTCATCTCTTTCTGTTTTTAATTTTCACACACGCCATCACTGATTGGTTGTCCTCTTGACGATATGCCTGATCTGTGATGCACTTAGTCTTGGGCCGATGCAGCTTAGTTATGATTTTGGATCCGGTCTGACAACATCGGTGCGTATTATGCTTGTGTATGTTGTTGTTGTTGTTGTTGTTGTTTATTTGGCTCCAGTTGTGTGGCAAGTGATACCGATCGCTTTCCAACTAACGTTCACCGTTACAAACGACGAGAAGGATGGTCGTTGTACCGCAATTAAGCACACACGAGACTGTTGCGGTCGGTGCTCGTCTACACACACACACACACACACATACATAAATACACGCACTAGCACGTTCACTTTGGAAGAGTGTCGATTATGCGTGCACCCGGATTTGATAATTCTGTAGCATGTTTGTTCTCGTCTATGATCATTGGCTGAGTATTCATTCCTGTTCCAAAGCCTAACTGTTCACATCGCGAATGGTACGAACCCACGCCTGGTTCTCCGCATGGCATTCCGTCATCATTAGATTGCTACATCTGGGTGGAAATTTTTATCCAGTTAAGCGGAAGTACCAGGGCGTTTTGACAATAACAACAGAAACTAGTTTCCCTATAAATAGTAGATACGGTTAGTTTGGCATTTTACGTATCCGTTCGGTGGTTCCAAACCGACCACAGAATTGGGACAGCACATTCAACCTTGCCAAGTAGACCTAACTTGGCGGGACACTTTCGATTGGAGTTACCAGATGATACACTGTCTCCTTTCGTTGCTGTTGTGCGAAATTAAACTAAATGACTATCACTGAAGACCACATATGACCGCGGTGGTCGTGGTGGTGGTCCTGGTTTCGAACCGCTACCTGTCTTCCTTAGTTCTGTATTTTTCCAGGCAGCCTTTGTATGGTCGCGGTCCGCTTCCTGAAAGTTCATTGTACATTTGAATATTCAGTGAATTAAAAACAAGTGTAAAGACGTTATTTTTTTAAATAAAAAAATATGAATTGGCAATGATGATCAGCGTCGATGTGAGCTGGTTGACCCAGTGGTAACACACAGGACTTCTATGCAATGGGAGTCTGGAGTGCGAAGCCCCAGACGGGGGGATATCACTACAGATGAGCTGTATCTGAAGTAAAACTCGATTCTCTGGCTTCCTAAGAGTACGGTTGATTGGATCAATTGAAAGTTGAGCGTGAAGATGAAACCGAATGAATGATCAGTTCAAATCAACCCCTTGTCTCATAAAAATGCTCACAAGCAATTGTGACTTGTTTGAGAATTAATGATCTTGCTATTTCAAGTTTAAGTTGAGAACGAGACGCTTTGTTTGGATCCGCTTGTGTTCAGAACAGTTCATTGGGCAATGGATCACACGTTTTCTTCTATCTCCTGATTGTTCACTTGTTCGATCAGTGTGGTTTCTACCAGCGAGCTTGTAAAACCAAATTGTCCTCTTTAATGCTATATTGTTTGTGTCCGTGCGTCACACAGCAATATTTCTTCTGACAACTTCGGAAATATCTCTTTCTATCACACAAATCGACAACTACGGCCAGCTTCGCCGTAACTGTAGCGTGCGCACGAAACAGTATTTCACACCCTCTGCTTATCAAGTTTGGATCAGCTTAGCAATTTCGTTCAAACCGCATGGCTTCATTGACCGGCATCAGTGAACTTGACAAAATGCAAAACTGAGGTGTGGGTAAACAGATGACCAATCAGGGATTGGACTGATGTGTGATCGTTTGTCCAATAAACTGCCCTGAAAGGAAGCAGATCCAATCGCAGTTTGTTTTGTTCCCAATTGAAAGTGATTGTTTCTGACTTCAACGCTAATATCNGGGGGGGGGGGTGTAAAAAAATGGAGTCGATAAATTTACGTGATTCTCTCAAAACTCAATTGATGGAAATATGTAATGAACGGTTGGGAATGCATTTGTGGTCGTAATTAGTAACAATACAAAATGTTGACAAAGTATTGAAAATCGGTTCTCGTAGCTCGGTTGAACTGAATTCTATTTCGCCTGTTCGTCAAGCAATTGGCGATTTGTTTGCAAACGAGATGACATCATCAGTGCTTGTGAAATGGCAGTCTTCTGCCTGTATCCGTTCATTTTTATTATGTGTTCTTCTCCACCGATCGAGAAAAACATCAGTTTGACTTCACTTCAGTGAAAATTATCGACCAAGCCCGATGAAAACACGCCAGAGAATTTCTCGAATTTCTCTTGGCACTCCTCAATCAACAGGCACATTGAACTGGATCACGTGTACAAGCCAATGCAACTCAAGGATCAAATGACGCAACAAAAAGGGTCACACCGTGACCTGAGAACGGGCCGAAACCGCAATCAGGACGGATGGACAACCACCTCCCCAACCAACCTCACCCCCACGCACCGCGAACACAACGAGAACAAGGGACAAAATTGGTCGGTGGAGAAGACCACATATATAAACGAACAGATACAAGCAGAAGACTGCCACTTCATAAGCACTGATGATGTCACCTCGGCTGGTCTGATGAAACGTTTGCAAACAAATTGCCAAGCTCGGCGAATACAATACAAAACCATTTGCTTGACAACAAAACTGCAGGATCGCTAAGAATGAGCGTGGAAACTGTGTAAATCTTTTATCTAAGGACCCTATTATCTGTAATTCTCGTTCCGTGTAAACCATCATGAGCGGCGGTATATTTTGCTACCCGTCGATCGTGTCCTCCAAGCTTTGATCTGTATCCGATCACAATTCAGTGCTCGAAATTCACTGGACTACACTTTTCATTTAACTTAAGTTGTCCTCGAATACTTCGTTAAAAACAAATGATGATGTCCAAGGGGTGCTGTATGGACTATTTTTTTTGCATTCCAATAACGAGCCACCGGCGATCAACACTTTTACGCTCACACAGTATGTGGTTGCTACTTCTTAAACTCCCATTTTTATTGCTGTGTGCATCCACGTACATCATCAGCTTCATCACACTGATTTATCGGTTTTAGAGGATGTTGTCGATGCAGCCTCAACAACCGAGTTCACACAGCCGAACACAGCAGCAACTCAGAAACGGGATAAGCTGTCGATACTTGTGGAACTGCAAACACCAGATGGATCATGGATGCTGGATGATCACCTGGCCGAATGTCTGGAGGTTCCGTTGGATCAGCTGAAAGAAGACAAACCGAAGACCTGTAAGTTGAATTCCTTCGCTGTCGGGTTTGTGGTGTTGGTCATTTATGGCGCAAAATGTCAGGTTTCACCGCATCCCGTTTTGTCATTGTTGTTTAGAATAGTCAGATTGGCGGCGCAACTGGCATGTGTTTCCTCGCCCGTATATTTCCAATTTGACCGCGTTTTTTTATTTTGTTTTTCACATTATACCTTTGCAATCGGTGACTTTGTGATCGGGTGGGCGGGGTGGATTTCAGATCGCTATTATTCTCTTTTCGATTCGATTCACAGATGTGAAACGCAACCCACACTTTCGTGTTCTGCGTGAGCTGTGGACTGTCTCGATTGCTGATGAGTATCTGGGGGATATACACATTGTTGATCAGCTGCGTAAAGTTGGATCTGTAAACTTCATTCAGCTACTTTTACAGGCTAACTGACCTGGTTCCAAGTGACCGTTTATCCCTCACCCCATCCTTCACACTTTACATAACTGTATGCCACTTGTGCGTTTTCCGTAAAGTTTCTTGTTTTCTCTCTCTCCAATGGCACCGATACTCCTTTCGTATACCCACCATCTCTGTCTTCCTTGATCCGAAAGCGGTCCTGAACTCTGTAAATCGCTCCAAACTCGGGCACTGCCTTGCCCTGAACGATGTGCCTGAGAAGTTTATTTCAATATTACAATCCTTTCTTTATACCCATAGCCGAAGTCGAGTCCGAGCTTGTGGCACTTTTTCGCCCGAGTTCACCACTGAGCGTGGTGTTCGTCAGGGTTATCCTATCTCCGTTCCCATTCAACTTTGTTGTAGATTAACTTATTTAAAGAGTCCTATCCTCGTGCGAGGACAGCGGTATCGATTTACTCCCAGGTGGCAGACTGTTTGATCCGGAGTATGCAGACGACATTGTGCTGCTAAGTGAAGATTCAGGCAAGTTGTAAGCTTTTCTGGACAGCTTCAGTGCCGCCGTAGCCATGTTCAGTATGCGTTTTGCACCTTCAAAGTGTAAAATGTTACTACAAGACTGAGTTGATCCAGCATCCAACCTCACTCTAACTGGGGAAGTAAAAGGCCAAATGGGTAAGTTTTGTTATTTGGGTAGCTACATTCACCCGGTGGATTCATCACGGATGAAGTGTCAGCTCACATACAGAAAACCTCGATTGACATTTGCTAACTTGAGACATCTGTGGCGCCACCGCAACATCCCACTGTTCTTGAAGAGTCGAGTGTATGTTGCAGCAGTTCGGTGTAGAAATATGGCCTATAAGAAAACAGGATAAAGATAAACTGTCGGTGTTTAAACATCACAACGAATTATCATTGCGCGAATCTGGTGGGGCAGTCGGATGAGCAATACTGAGGTTAAGTGCAGAGTTTTAGGTATTCGCAATCGTCCACTGAAGTGGTTGACCTCCATAGATCACGTTAGTTGGGGCATGTGTTATGCATGTCAACAGATAGGTTACCACGACGAGCGACATTCGCAGAGACAAGTAGTGGGTGGATAAAAGCCAAGGGTGGTCAAGTAACGACTTGGCACGAGGGTATAAAAGCGCTAACCAGGATACTCGGTCACATAGATCCCGTTAGGCTCCTTGGTTCGGGACCTTGGGATCAGCGTAATCACTGAGTGATATGGCTGAGTATCGTAAACAGTGGTGTTCGTGCATCTTCTCAATTTCCCTGCAGCCATAGTCTGCCAGAGTTCTCAATTTTCTCTTCGGCTCTACCTTCAATTTTCCTGTCTTTCTCCTATTGCTTCATCCAAAAGACAGTAACCAAAACCGGCGCACAAAATGACATGGTTATTGGTTGTTCAAACTGAAAATGTTGTTGCCCACCGGATGTCAGAACACACATCCCCCCTCAACCTAAATGGGTGTTTCCAACTACAAACCAGTCATCAGGAACAGCGTGAAAAAACTAACTTGTTAGTCATTTAATTGTACCTGTATTGAATATTCTTAAATAGCTTTATCAACATCCAGGTCAGGTAGAAATGATACATCCCAATTTGGTCGGTGTGGCACAATTGAAAAAGAATCCAATCTGTTAAGGAAATAGAAGTGAGAAGTCACTGTAAATAAATGTATCACGTATGTATGTATGTATGTATCTATGTATGTATGTATGTATGTATGTATGTTTGTATGTATGTATGTATGTA